ATATCTTGATATGTTAAGACGTCCATCAAATCATCTATCACATGGACCCCAAATTGTGTCCCACGTGATTGACGGCTTGATGAAAGTCTTAGCATGCCAGGACTTTTTGATTTTTTGTTTTACCTATCAATAAATAAAATATCTTTGATAAAAAAGTTACAAATATTAGATTAAGATAAAAATTGATATACATAATATACACGAATAGAAATTTCAATCCACAGAGGATCTGTCCTGTAATATCCTCAATCTTTATTTGAATTCAATTTGTTCTGTTACATCAATGGAGTTCTTATTCTTTAAACTAGCATATTATTTTGATGAGTTTAAATAGTCTATTTTAGATGATAATCATCTTTTTCTCCTTTGGAATATTCTTAAAATAGAGTAGTCGAAAAGAATTTGGTCAAACCATTGCATGTAATCTCGCCCTTTCTTTTTGGCCGATTTCCCACATAAGTACATATTCCAATTCCATAGTTCAAACTAATCTCCATTGTCTTACCCAAAAGGGTAAAAAGAAACAAAAACTAAAATATATACAAACAACCCAAGTCAAATATGAAACCAAAACTTTAAACTATAATGATTCAATGACAATATTTATTAGCATCATTTATTGACAACTATTACATAATATTTAAAAAATTAATGCATATTGTGTCTTGTTGATTGAAAAGCTAATAAAAGTATGTCATGTTATATTACCAACCAATATTATCATCAAACATTATCAAAAAATAATTTTCATAAATTTAAAAGCACATAGCAAATGATAAGAAGAATATAATCCTAAAAGGTTCTAGACTGTGTAGGATGAGAAACAAGTTCTTGCCCCGTCACCATCGCTGTTTGGATTTGGACATAAATTTGTTATATGATTCACCAAAGAAAGCAAAAGACAACTCGCAAAGTTCATTGTAGTTTTATGTTAATCAAAACCAAGGACCACGGTGCTGGACAGGTTTTCAAGAAATTAGGGTAATTAAAATTTTTTGATGACCTTTCATTTTAAAGGACCACGGTCCTGTAATTTTCCCGTGTGCTTTCGCTCTCCACAAACCAGTGATCACAGGGCATTTCTTTCCTCTTCATCAATGTCCTCCTTTATTTATTTATTTATTTATTATTATTATTTTACATAATATAGAAACAACAAGTTTAACATTATAAAAATTTAAATTCTTGATTAGTTATGAGATATGATAATAAACTTATACTTATATATATTTTTAACTATAAGTCTAAGAGTTTATTCTTAATTTCTACATCTACAAAAACTTAAGAAATATTAACTTGACAAATTATTATTGACATTTCTTCATTTTCTTTTATATTAATAATTATAATTATTAACTAAAACTTAACCCACACTTCGCGCAGTTCGTCCATGTTTTTTTTTTTAATTTTATTAATTATAAGTTTTTATAATAATTAATAATTAATTAAAGTATTTATCAATTATCT